ACATCATAATAACACTTATTCATTATCTTTTGTTTGTTTCAAAATATGACTAATTCACATGAAAAGTCAATTATTTCTTTCATGCTGATTGAAATTTTTTTTTATTCCTTTAAGAAGTATGACTGTTATATGATCTGAAGTCTACATAATTCATTCTTTCATAAAATATAACTTATTTAATTCTGTTCAAAAAATTTATTTCTATCACAAATTTATTTTTTATTTTTTTATAAATATACAATCGATAAGTGCATACTAAGAAAACACGTGAAACGTTAAAACGGAATTTTGTTTAGTGTAATGCATGAGTTGTTAAAAAAAATTTGCTATCAAATTATTTTAAATTTTAAACAGGGCAAAAAACATAATTTAAAATGCATCCAAAAATGAACATTGACACTGCATAATTTGATATCATGAAAGAAATTTTCCAGATATATTTCGCTAAATTTTTTCACAACATTATATTTTTGTTTTTAATTTAAGTACTTTGTTGGGCGCACTTTCGAAATATTAAAAATCTTATAAAAAATTAAAAAGATAAAGAGAAGCGTTAAAAAAAATTTTAAACGTTAACATTAACTCTTGCTTAAAATGAACAAAAAGTAATCTTTGTTAATTAGGAAATTTCAGTTTTCCAATTTTCAGATTAAGTTTTATTAAATGATTGTTACTTATTAAATGAATAAAATAATTAAGTTGTTTTACACTGGAAAAAACTCAACATAAAATTAGAGTAAAAAGTACTAGCACCCTGAATGCAAGTTGATTTTATCGCACATACAATTTAAATTTGGAAACAATTCGTTGCTAAACGAGTTGACTTTCCCTTTATTCAGTAGAGTGAAATTTTAAAGTCAGTCCAATGATATGCAATTGAAGACCCTTTCAGATCCACAATCTTTTTTACTTTTGATGTCAAGCGAGCTGCAACTGGAGCTCCCAGCAATTGAAGTCTAGGCAGAGTCACACCATCCATAGGTCGCTGGTTCGACTACGGCTTGACGGACCAGATGTACAGAAAATTTAACTGACGGACCACTCTTTTTAAGAAGAGATGATTTTTATTTATTTTAGTAGTTTTTTTTTCTTTAATTTATCGCTAAATGCGATTTCAGAAGTTTTATTTTTTGTTATTAGACGGAGCTACATGTGAGGCATTTTTGTTATTAGACGGAGCTACATGTGAGGTACATTCATTGATTAGGGCATCCACAACTTATTATTATTTGTATCAAATTTATTCAGTATTATAGCTCTGTTTTCAGTATGTCTAATTCTCTATTCTCCCTCTGTATTCACTCTCAATGTATTCAGTATTATATCTCTGAATATCTATTTATTATTATTATTATCAGTAGTAACTAGTTTACACTGTTCTTGAAATCATCGCGAGTTTTAAGCATTTTCGCTCCACTGCAAGCAGAACTTATCGTCACATTATCGCCAAAGGAATTTCTTTTTTTAGTCTAAACTTTAACCAATTCCGATTAACTAGAATGTTCAACATTTAACTGGAGCTCTGAGCTGAATGTCAATGAAAGTTTCAATCATTCCGTGTAGAATTCTACAAGTAGAATTATTCATCACTTTATCACCCAAAAAATGTCTCAATCAAATTTCCAGCTTCATTAAAATTTATCTGGAGAATGAATTTATATTAATGATAGAAGTTTGTTTCTAAATTAAAGCACGCAAAATATAGAATTCTCTCATTTTAAGTCAACTTGACAAAAGTAATTTTCTTTATTTCTTATTTTACTTTGGTATTATTGTTCGTCTGTAATAAATATTTCTGCTGTTGTAATATTTAATATTAATAATATTAGTAATATTTTTAAAAATTTGTGAAGTACAAATATCTTACAAAATTGCACTTTAAAATTTTGTGAACAGTCTTGAACATCTCCCATTAAATCAGTATAAGCCCCTGTGTCTTTGTGCATTTTAATCACTGGGTGCTGTTTTATTTTTAAAAATCAAGTGAATCATCCGAAAAAAGATGCACTAAGCTGAGCAAATAATCATTAAATCTAATGATGATTACTTGGCTGTCCTCTCTCGGTAATAATCATTAGTAGCCCTTAAATTTACCATTATCACTCGTTAAATCGCTTAACAGTTGCAAGAACGCTTTGCTTTTTTTAAAAAATAAACAACCTTAGTTGATAAACAAATTCTTCTTCTTTCGAAACCATAGCATCATTTCGAAAAAAAATTTCTTCATTTTTGTTAAATTGAAAAAAAAAAATTTTAAATGTAGAATTTTGCTGGATTAAAAACCATATCTACATACCAACTTATACAGCTTCTTAAAATAGTGACAGAAAATGCTGAAATCAATAGAGGGTTATTGTGACACCTCAAATAGTTCGGTTATATGTCACTATCAAACTTTTTCCAAAAGTTTTTCATAAATTGGCAAAACTTTGTTCCTCTTTTATATAAAATTTCAAAATAACATTCCTGATTGTTAAGTAACAAATTAAAAACAATGTTTGTTTCCACTTAATATAATTTATTAATAGTTTTAAATAAAGGGTTTATGATGAAATTGATAATGCTTATTATGTAATTTCAAGTCCCTTTTTGATTGTTATTTTTTAATTAACCTATGATACCCAAGATTAGACGAACAAACAGCTAGGCTTACGGCTAGGTTACCCACTTTATAGTGAGACAACTGCATTTATGTCCTGATGAAGCTGTCTATGTTCCAGATTACAATGATAAACTGGTGCCTTTATTTAGTAATGTGGATTAATTACTAAAACATCACTTAAAAGGATATTTATTTGTTATATTAACAGTATTTTGCGAAATTTCTTTTCTTTTATTAAATTAGATTAATTTTCTAAACTTTATAAATGTATTTGTAATTTTTTCTGCCTTTTATAATGTTATTTTTGAAATTCAATTAATTTTTATACAGTGAAAAATTTAGAAACAACCAATGCTTTCACGTGTGTAAAGTTTTTGTAATTCAAAATGTTGATTGCTGACGGAATTTTTTTTAAATTTATTTCTTTTTTAAACCAGTTGAAAAATGTGAGATTTCAAAATTCTTTTATTAGTTCATTCATATTATTAATTTCACCTACCTTTCAGCTTTCATTTGTTGCTGCTGATCTGTCAAACTTCTTTAGGAAAAAACACCGAATTCCCTAGCAATATAATAATTTATTCTGCTCTTCTGATCCTAAAAAAAAAGCTTTTTATGAAATAGGTAGTCTTTTTTTTATAAGAGGATATATATACATATATATATATATATTCAGTCATAATACAAACACTGACAGAGTNAAATATAGTAAAAAGCTTTCATTGCAGCTCGTCTCTTAAGAGACCTGTACCCTCGCTATTTTGTAATATATATATATATTATATATATATATGGCATAATAATAATAAAAAGGATAATAAGAAAAATGAAAAAAACAAAGGAAATTAAGAAAATTAATAAGTTTTATTTAATGCGCATAAGCTGCAAGTATATAGAACTCATAAATTTATATACTAAAAAGCCGAAAAACAAGGACAAAAAATGAAAAGACATAATCTCCTCATCAGCTCACACGGTAATCTCGTCAAAAATGAGTGCTTTCTAATATAAAAGCAGAAAATTATGTGATTTTTTATATGATTTTGCACAATTGCCTAAGGAGAATCCGAAGGCATGACATCACAATTTTGATCCTCTTCTCCCTCATTTAGATAACCAAACGACATGCGTGCAAATCCAGCACTTTACAGAAGAACAATTTAACGAGGATGTTACCATGCACCCTTAGTCTCTTTGCATTCTGATCACTTACCGCAGCCTGTGACGATTGATTTCAGTGATCTATTGAGTCTTACGATCAGTCCTCTTTGGAACAAACAATTGCCATTTTTCTGATTCAAATTAGCTAAGCAATGACCTCATAAAAAATTTTGGCCCTTATGCTTAAAAATAAAAAATTTTCCAGAAAAACCTGGTTTCTAACTAAGATACCGAAATTTCTACCTAAAGGCCTGGTTTCTTAGGACAGGACGCCGTCAGCTGGAAATCAGCGCTAACCTCTGATTGGTCCATTTGTGAGTTTGATAGTATACGTCATCGAACGCTCATCTTGAACTACAATTGCCGTCCAACTCAACTGCAGTTGGATTACAACGTGACGTTAACCACAGAAGCAATGGCGGACAACATCCAACAGCACATTGAAATCAGCCAAGATTTTGATTTTGACATTAAACATAGCTTCTTCATTAAACATAGCACTCTTCATTTAGCTCAGCTATAATGTGTTTTTTCTTGGACAAAGTCATTATTTGTTCTCTAAAACACTGGTCGACAATAACAAAATCAATACAAATTCAAAATAAATATTTGTTTACGTTATTAACGCATGCGCAATGAGAGATAATGTCTGCGTTGGACCGACTGCTCACGCTGAGCTAACAAAAAAGTATTTTTTCGGCGTCAGCTCTACATCAACTTACCGCTGACGCCCAGATAAGGCGCTAGTTCTAAGAAACCAGACCTTGAGTTAACAAACCAGTATTTTGTTGGCGTCAGCGGGACGTTGACGTCCCGCTGACGCCCAGATAAGGCGCTTGTCCTAAGAAACCAGACCTTAAGCATCAATACTAACATTTCTAACAGTCTAATTTTCGCTTAATTTTTCCACGTTTTTTCTTTTAATTTAGCCGTAATTGTCTAAATATTACTGACACTTTCAAATTTAATTTGTCACATAGATATCTTGCGATGCGAAACAATTAAAAAAGTAAATCACTACCCGCAGTAAGAATATTGTCCTCAAAATGAATTTGTCCTCAAAAGTGACACAGTACCCACCTGAACAATTTGAGCAACAATTTTCTGATTCCTAGCTTTGTTTCAAATAACTAAACACTAAAAAACTAATTTAGCAAAAATTAAGGGATGTTAAAATATTACTAAAACTTTAATAATTGCTTCTAATTATTTAACTGTGCAATCCTGCTGATTCAATGGTTTCTAGTTGAGCAGAAATATTTGTATACCCGGTTCCGGTTATATTTTTGTTTATGTTTATGTAATGCAATCATTTATGAGCATTAAATCACCTTTAATTCAGCAAGAAAATTATGATCATTTAATCAGTCTAGAACGATCAGTTTAATTTTATTGTTTTTAAACTGTTTTATTAAAGTGCCTGGTTTGATTATAAAATGTAGGAAATTGAATTCATCACCAAGAGTTATCTTAAACGTGCAAATTCATAACCCTTCATTCGCCTATTAATTTTTCTCTAGCTGTCTAAGATTTCTTATTTGTGGAAAAGCAGGTTCAATTTTATTTTCTTCCTTCCCTGCATACATTTTCTTTTTGATTATCTTGATAAGAATCTTTTTCTTTCTTTTTTTCAGATTTCGTTTTATATTTTACTATAATTAAATTAAATTTGAATTGTGATTCTTGTCGAGACAGGCAATAAATAAGAATTATTATTATTATAAAAGAAGAATCTCTATTACCTAAAAAAGTATGTTTTTTTGTGTAAAAGGCATATCAAGAGGAATTAACGTTTATTTTATTGTGATATGTTTTTGAACCTTATTTCTCTGGAAAGGGGGAGGATAATATACCTTGCATAAGCAGCTATTTACGTCTCTCTCATCATTTTAATCAAGATTGTTTTGACAGAAAATATTCAGGGGATATTTCCGTATCCAGATCTGTGTCACGCTAACTACAATCGCCAAGGTGCCAAATAGATTTCAAACTTGCAAATTTTAAAATTAAAAAAAACATGTAGTTGTTTTCCCTGGGGTGGCTACGAGGGGGAGATTTTTGTTTCCTGCTCTGTGGCAGAATAAACGCCAAGTCTTGTCAACTTCTGGGCAGCAGCCCGCGAGAAACTATAAAAAGCATCACTGAAAGGGACCAACTCGAAATGTATGACTCGTAGCCACCCCCAGCAAATATCTACATGTTTTTTTTTAAATGTGCAAGTTTAAAATCTATTTAGCACCTTGGCGATTGTAGTTGGCGCAAAAAGTGACGATGCAGAAATATCACCGCTGCAAGCTTTACCTTTTGAGTTGGTCCTTTTCTGTGATGTTTTTTTTTTATGTTTCTTGCGGGCCACTTCCCAGAAGTTACGAACACTTGGCGATTATTCTGCCACAGATGAGGATACGGAAATCTCCCCCTTGCACTATAAAAATAGCTGAGTAATGGCAAAAATCGAGCAGTTGTGTATGAGAAACTCACATAGTAGGACAAATTCAAAGTGTATAATTCGTATCCACCCTTGTGTTATCAGTATGTATTTAATTTTTTACAACATTACAAACAAAAACTATTAGTGTTTGTAAAAATATTCTTCGTATTTACAATTACACTTAGCACTCAAAACACCAAAAGAAAAAAAGGACAAATTCAAAGGGCATATAATTTGTAGCCATGGGGATATTTCCGTATCGTGATCTGTTGCACCAACTACACTCGCCTGGATGCCAAATAGATTTAAAACTTGCAATTTTTTTGTAAAAATAAAAAACATGCAGATGTTTGCCCAGGGGTGCTCTTATTTTGCCACAGATCAAGATATGGAAATCTCCCGTCGCCACTTCTGTGCAAACATTATTTATTTGTCTTTAAATTAATTGCATATATAAGTACCCTTTGAAGCCTTGATGGTGGTAGTTGGCGCAAACAGCTATCAATTCGGAAATGTTCTCGGGAATTCGTTTTAAAGTATTGTAAAAGCTTCATTTTATTGTTTTGTTTTTTACAGATAAACAAAAATGTCAGAGCTACCACCTCCTGGAAAACATCCTGATCTTAGTGGCTTGCCTAGAGGTGCAATTAGTATTAGAGGCCTTCCTTTAGGTAGAAATACAAGGTAAAGTTATTTATCTTCAATAATCAATTTGATTTTAAGAAAAGTTTTTGAAGTGTTTAAATTTCAATTTATTTTTACTCTGAAACTATTTAAAGAAGTTAATAACTTTTTTGACTCAGTTTAACTTGTAATTAATAATAATAACTAGATAAATTCTTGAAAAATTGTTATTTTTTATAATTGTTTATTGTACTAATTATTGAATTTTCTAAGATTTTAAAAACTTGTAAAATATGAAAATTTTTGGTTACTTTTTAACAGGACGTAAGTAAATTCCTTTTTGGATTTTTTTTATTTAAATGAACAAAAATTTCATTACAATATTTGAGTAGCTAATAAAAACCAAAATATAATTAAAAACTGCTTGAATTTTGGAAATTTTTTTACTCAGAAACTTTTTCACAGGGTTTGTTTAAATTTAATTCTTATTATTTAAAATTTCATTATTTAAAGTAAAACAATTCAAAATTTTCAAACTAATATTAGATTAAGTATTTAGGTTCAAATTTTAAACTGTAAACCTCTTGTCTTAATTTGTGGAAGATCAAAATAAAGTTCCACCATGAAGAAAGAGTTTATTTATTTAGAAAAAGTATGTTGTGTCTAATATTTGTAACTTAAACTATTTAAGCACCCAAAAAAATCTATCTCCTATACTCCTATATCTATCTCCTATGACTGGATATCCCTATCTCCTATACAAAAATTAGCACATTTAAAGTTCAACCCTATAATATAAATATTAAATTAAAATCTGATCATTAGATAAACAGTTATACTAAGTTAATTATTTTGTGAACACTCTAGACATATAATTATGGCACAGTATTTTGCCTTATTGTCATTGGAAAATTGAAATAAAATATTTAAACTTTCAGTTAGAATGACATAATAAAATTGTATCTTAATTTATAATACCTTGATAATTACTATGCTTTTCTATTAAATAACCTCTTAATTTACAAAACTTTTAAGAAAATAAGTTTCATTATTTTTTGCTTCACAAATTTATTAAAGAGAAAAAAACTTGTTCCATTTTAAGCATTAATTTATTTTCCTAAAATGTGTTTGGTAGTTATCTTGAAAAAAAAGCATTTTACTTTTTAATTGTTTATTTAACTATTGACCTCTCTATTTTAGATTACCATCAATCCGAAGTCCCAGAGATTTAACTCTAGGAGCTCAACCTAAAAGAGTTTTTACACCTAACATCCCCGTCCGGCGTGAAAAAAAATCTGTTGAGTAAGTTATCTTTTATAAGAATACAAACTTTAACTTAAAGAGTTTTGTTATTTTTTATGAGCATTTTACATCGAAAACTAAATAATTTTTTTAATTATTTTTGAATCTATATTTTTATTTATTTTTTTTTTAATGTTATTATGTATGAAGTGCACTGAATTATAATTTTTTTTTATTGTAATTGAAATAGTATCTTTTTAAGTCACCATTTTTGGATTTTTAAAATAATTTCTTAGCTGTATCATTGTCTTTTGTTCTTATTTTTGTTTAAATCATGCATTAAAATAATCATGTAATTATTACTTGATTAAAAACTTCATTTGCTTCAAAAATCAGCATGTTTATGTACTCAAAAACAGGCCCCCATTTTCAAGATTTGCCAAACACGATTGAGAAAAAAAGTACTTTAAAATATAAAATGTTAATTTGCTAATTAAAAATAGAAAAATAAAGGTGAGAAACAAAAATAATTTTTCTTGTCCTGTTTTTCATCTTTTTTCTCACCCTTATTTTTCCATTTCTTGGTGACAACTTAATGTTTTATATTTCAAATCAGTTTTGTTTCTTCTCAATCACGTGTTAGCAAATGTTGGAAATGGGTATCTATTTTTGAGTGCTTAAAACATGTCCTCTGTAATTTCCAATTTGTATATTTTTGAAGTTAATGAAGTTTTTAATAAAGTAATATCTTACAGCTTCAGTTTCTTGTGATTATTTCCTTAATAATGAAAGTACTCTGTTGCATCTCATATATTTAATAAGTATTATGGAAAATATTAAGTTTGGTTCTCAATGTATCAACAAAGGAAAAAATAGATATAGAAAAGAAATAGGATTTCTTGAATATAGTAATTAAAAAATAAGTTTTCTTATAAAGGTTGTTTCAATTTGTTGCTTGAAGTTCTTAATAAATCTTGCTTTTCTACTACTTTGAGTATTGCATTTTTTTATTCTAAAGGTGCCTTCTGGACTTTTTTTTATTTTAATTATTTTTAGGCCAGAACCTGAAAGTGAATTTCAGTATATAATTAAAAAATAAATTTTCTTATAAAGATTCAGTGTTTCCTATTATCAAAATTTATTGCCTAAACTTCTTATTAAATCTTGCTTTTTAATTGCTTAAAGTATTGCATTTTTCTTATTCTAAAGGTGCTTAGTTGACTTTTACTTAACTTTTATTTATTTTTAGGTCAGAACCGGAAAAATCCCAAACTTCCACAAGTAAGAGTAAAGAACCTAAGCAGAAACCTTCATTCAGTCCTAAATGGCAAAAGAAGGAACGAACCATAATTCAGACTGAAGGATCTCTTTTTGGAGAAGGGATTGCTGCAAGTCCATCCAAAAATGGTATTAATTTTAATGAAAAATGTATAAATAAATATTATCTTTAAAAAACTAGGTTCAACGTGTCATAATGGTGTTAAAGTAAATTAAAGCTGTGGTACAATGTTTAATTAAAATATTAAATTCAAAACTTTTAATAAAATTAATATAGTTCAACCCCTCTGTTGTGAACCGTCTGTGGACCTAGCAATATGTCCACTATAAACAATAGTTCACTATTTACAAATTTTTTCAAAAATATTTTTTTGCATATGACAGTTGGTGTTAGTTTCATTTAGTGAGACGAGTGCCGAAACTAAAAATGTAGAAAATAATAATTGAAATATTACATAATTTGTTTGAAAAATTTTTAACTAAATAAATAGATTAAAAAAAAATTAATGGAAAAATACTTACTAAGATTAAAAAGTGGTTTTAATTTTGCATTTTATGTATGAAAAAAATTTGTGATTTTTGATAGTGTTTATCAATTTTCTTATCGCTTCATTTTCTTCCATTAACTTTCCTTCCTGATTTTTCTTTTATTATGGTTACGGTTTCATCATCAGTATGGATATCAAAAGTGGGCACTTCAGCATTGTTACATTCAAATTGCTCTATAACATCCCTTCTATAAAATTTTATTTTCAGTTAATTTAAAAACATAACATTTCAATTTTGTGTTTTTATAGCCACAGAGTTATTGGTAAATTGTCTTATCATCTTCGTCCTGTACAGGAATAGTCTCCCTAGAAGTTTAAATTTGAAGGACAGAAAAAAATTCTGCGTAAATAAGATTTGAATTCAGTATAACCAAATTATCGATTTCTCATCTGTTTTCTATAAGCGTTTTGAATAACATCTAAATGGGAATTTAGACGGGTTAATCAATAAAGTGCACTTCAAGTGATTGTTCACTTTACCGGAGTTCAACTGTAATTAGTGTATAATAGCGATGCTTGAAAATGTATAGATTTATGATTATAAGAATGTAAATATTGGAGTAGCCTTCAAAGCCTCTTCTAAAATAGATCTTGATTGTCGTAATTTTTTGTGTGTAGCATTAAACTAAAACGATAATTATAAGCACTTTTTTCTTTGTCTTACTGTGTAGGGTGCTAATCTTATTTAGTAACGCAAGTGCTGGAACTAAATATTAAAAGAATTAACCAACTTTAAGGAAAAAATCATCTACTTATCATTTTTAATTATAATTGTAAAAAGAAACAAAAAATTAACGACAGTTTTCTAAGTGTGGGACCATAATACTGATCTGAACATTAAGCTCTGACAATAATTAAGTTAAAATTTAATTGACAGTAAAATTTTTAGAGTAAATTTTCAATTTGACTCTTTTGTAGAATGACCATTATATATTATGACACTTTTGTAGAGCGACCAAGGGAAGCCGTACCAAAGTTCACATCTAAGAGACCTGCAGTGAAGAAGGAATTTGATATGTCTGAGATGAAAAGTGACTTAAATGGGATTCTTAGGGATGATGTAAGTATTGTTAACTCATTTGGAGAAATGTTTTAGCTTTAAAGTTAAAATAGCTGTGTTGTAATTTTTAGAGATTTGATTTAAAATAGAAATTTTCTGTAAAAATGCAGTTGCTGAACTTGTGTACGATTTATTATTTTTATTTTCTGGAACACAGTGCCAAAATACTGACATAGACTTATCTGTTATTTATCTTTTGTTGTTAAATATAAATTTTTAATTTAATCTTTTTTCTTTTTTTAAAAAAAAATAAAATGTCATTGATTAGGTGCAATTTGAAATTAAATTTATTTTCTGTGACTAAATTAAAATTTGCTGTATAGATTTCATAGCTGTATGGTTAAAATATTTACAATTTTATTTTGAATTACAAATTTTAAAAATGCTATTCCTCCCAGCCAGCTCTCACTGGTACAAAACTCTCTCTCACTCACTCTCTCTATCTCTATCAGATTTTATGTAAAATGAAAACCATAAAAGCAATAAAATAAAACATTTCATTAAATTAATTTTCTCTCAGTTTATATTTGCAATGAACCTGTAATCCTGACCAAGAGAAAAGCACCCTGATTATTTATACTTTACTATTTTAAGCTACATGAAAAATAACTCATATACCAGCCATCTTCTCGTGATGAACAGTTATAAAAAAATCTTAATGAACACTTATAAAAAAATCTTATAAAAAACTTTGTTTGGATAACTTGTACTTTTTGTAACAATATTTCTGTTTCATTCTCTTTAAATAAAATTCACCAGAAAATGATTTGAGTATCACAAAGAATTTAATGTAAGATGAACATTATTCCTGTGAGGGACGAATATCATGTTGTAAGAGATCCAGAAAATTTTTATCAGGAAAAATATTTTTCAAAATATTTGCTCTTTTGTTAGAACATTGGAAAGTAAAAGTGCAAAACTTTTAAACAAAATGAAATGTTTAAAAAACAATAATTTTGGTAGGGTATAAATACAGTAGGGTATCTAGCAAATGTTGAAAACTTCAAATTATTACTATGTTAAATATTCTTCATGTTTTAAGTGTAGTGATTTTTTGTAATGGTAATTACTTGAATCCAATTTTTGAGATGTTAGTGAAAATGCTAAATTACAAAATCTGCTTTGATAATTCCAAAATTAAGTAGTTTTTTTTTCTTTTTTTAAACCATCAATGTAATAAATTTTATGTTTAACAGTTGTCTGTTTTACTATAATTTATTAATAAGGTCAAAATAAACAGAGTTAAAATATTAAGTGTTTATTATTATTTTAAGTTTTAGGATCTTATCTAAAATATGAGTGAAAAAGAAATTGCATTTTCATTTGCACTAAAAGCTTTATATACTTATTGGTGGCTTAAAACATAATTTAAGTCATTAAATTTTTTTTAAACATCAAGCTGATTTTTTTAAAAACCATTTTTTGAAATTTGAAAGTTTTTGGAAGTTACTAATGCTGATGAGATATTTTTTGATATTATGTGGGGTATCTATGCCAAAAAGACATTCCAACAATATAAATATTGTTACCTTTTCCTGCAACAGCGAATCAATTATAATTGACTTAACTTTTCAATTTAGGGCAGCTTAAAATTATGATTCTAATTAGGATGGATAATAATTTGCTTCTTAACTTCAAAATGAAAAATATTTGGTACTTAGTAGAAAGTTATTAATGCAAGCTGGTGAAATTATAAAATTAAGGAATTTTTTAACTCTTTTGTGACGAGAGTTACAAACAAGCTTATTGCTGAGGTCGGGAATCTCTTTTACGTGGCCTGCCCAGCGCTGAAAAAATTTTTTGCTGTTAAGCCTAAATTTAGGACAGCTTAAAGATGCGATTCTTATTCTAATAAGTAAGGATTTGCTTAACTTCTAAATGAAAAATATTAGTTTCTTAGTAGAATTATTAGAATGTTATTAAAGCAAATTGTTGAAATTTTTTATATTTATTTTATAACCGTTGAACAGCCTAGTCAATTATGAGTTTATGACTAACAATGTTCAGCTCCTTAGCCTTGTAATTTTAAACACAACCTAGAAGACAAGGGAGCTTCTTGATGATGCATTATAAGAAATTGGCCTTTGTGGAGAACTTTTTGATGAAACTAACCCGCATTTGTGTTACATTGAGAGGAAAACCACAAAAACCAATGGTTAACCTAAGCTAATGGTGAACATGAAAGAGCTCAGGCAACGTGGTGTGTTATATGAAAAATAAGAGCATGTCACAGGGTTAGTAATGTGCAATTTAAATTTATTTTAATGTTAGTTTATTTATTTATTTTAAAGTTTATTGATGATGATGATGAATACGATGAAGATGATGATGTCAAACCTATTATATATCCTTGCCACCTTGATGCAGAAAAAATTAAGAAAGAGATTCCTCCAAAAAAGAAATTTGAAGATGAAGAATTTGCCAAAGGTTTTTATTTATTTATTTTTTTCATTTATAATATTTATCTCTTTGCATTTAGTTTTTACAATTGTCACTTTTATTCTACACATTTATATAATTATTTTTATATCTATGTATGACATATATATGTATAATCCTTAGAAAATAATCCCAATGATGTTAAATTTTGAAATTTTCACTAAATCGTACTAACAAGACATTTACATACATGTGATTCTTCCACCATGTGGAAAAAATCTGCCAGTTTGATTCTTTTTGTTAATGGATTTTCATCATTTTGAATTTATGGAACTGTGCCAGAATCTGCTAATATCAGGATACTTATTCACCTGGTTTGAATATCAAGCTTCAATTGTTCATATTTACCTAATTTAAAAATGACACCTTGCAATTTTTATAACACAGTTTTAAAATCGCGATTGGTATTCACTTGAGTTTAAATTCCAAAGTTGTTATTTGTATTCAAGAGTTTTCAAAATTCAATATTGCAATTTGTATTCACGAGTTGTATTCATATATCAATTTTCATATTCACGTGATTTTCCGATTCTTGTTAGAACTGAGTTTTTTACTATAAAGGTGTGCCATTCTTTGCTGATAGGTAATTCGTTAAATATGGAACATATATGGTACATAAATTTAAATCTTGATATGGAGTTAGAACACATTAAATTTTCATGGTTTTTTACTTAAAGTCACAATCACTCTTTTCGGGCCCCACATGGCCAGCATTTAATATGTAAAACTTTGTGTATCTTACAGTTCACTAAATTTTAACCTTAAATAAATTAAAAAATAATAAATAATTGTTTTTTTTTTGTTTGTTTGTTTTTTTACATTAACTTATTTTTGGATAAATACATATTAAATGCAAACAAAAACAAAGGTTCAAATGAAGTACATTTTTGTTTTTGATTTCACAACTTTAAATTTCTACACAAATTAATTAAAATATTTAAAACTTAATCCTTGAACTCGTAAGATTAAATTATAGTGTATGACAATCAGATAGTGTGCACAAAAATTATTATCAACGTATTGTATTTTATAGTTTGAGCACTCTAGATATTATTAGAAATAGATAATTCATGTTTAGTGCACAAAGAGGAAAACACCCTGAATAAATTTTAACCTACAATAGGTATTATTGTTTACTTGGCCTCAATGTTAATGGTTCAGGGGCCTTACCTTAAATTGGCTAACTTACTAAAGAAAATATTTTTAATTGCAATAACTTAAATTGTACTTTCTTTAATTAAATATGCTTTTTTTAGGCAAATTTATATTTGTGATTCTTAAAACTGTTTGTTAATTTGCTAATATTTGAAAAAATTCTGAATTTTTAAGGTATAATAATTTTTACTACAATTTAATCAACGTAATTTTTAATGAAAAATTCTGAAATTTGAAAAGAATCTGCTGATATTCTAAAGAAATTAAATTTAACTTTGAAATGGTGAAATATGCAATTAGTGAAGTTAACTTTATAAGGCCATTTTCTACTCTTGTAACATTAAACTCTGCAGTCAATCCACTTCATGTTTATTATTCTGGTTATTGTTTTATTTGTCTACAAATTAACTGTGATTGTATAGAATTGAATTTTATTTTTAAATCATCGCCAATCAGACCACCATAAAATGCAGAATCTTTTATTTCCTCCTAAGAAATAAAAAAATTTATTTTAATGAAATCATCTACAAATAATATTAATATTTTTTCCCTTTTCATTATTAGGTGTTATTGGTAAAAGCGTCTGTTTCTTTTACTTTTGGGTAAAGCATGATTTTATATAGTTTTTGGGTATAATTATATAATATCTAATATTTTCGAAGTTTGTTACTTGTGTGTTAGGATAAGGTTAATTTTAACAATAATTATCTTAGTTTGACTCCATTGACATTTCCAATCAATTAATTGATTTATGAAGATAGTAATGCAGATTGACCTGGTCAATCTTTCTACCAGATCAAAAAATCAATTGATTTTTGAAAATAGTGATGCAGATAACCTGATCAATCTTGCTACTAGGTCAATAAATCAATAGATGTTTTGAAAATAGTGATGCAGAATAGTGACAGGGTGTCAATCTTGCTACCTGGTCAATCAATCAATTGATTTATGAAGATAGTGATACAGATTGACCACGTCTATCTTGCTACCAGGTTAGCTTTTTAGAATAGAAGAGCTTGGGGAAATATTAAATAAGCTACACTTTTTACTGAAAACGATGTAAGCTGTTACATATTATTGTAAAAGTTCTAGAACTTCCACTCTATAACAATGCAATGCATATGAACAAATTGCTGCTTACATTGGAATTGTAAAATTTTTCTGAAAAATAATTTGAAAATGTTGTCTCTAATTATTCCGTTTTGTTAATTGATTTATTTTATTTGTTTTAAATTCACTGATTTTTTAAATCTATTTCTTTAGGATTAGGATTTGATGTTGAAAGAATTGCAAAATTTATTAAAAAAGAAAAATGTGCTGATGCTGCCATTAAACAGGATGAAGTGAACATGGATCTGGAATCTGACAATGAAATTTATAATTTAATTAAACAAGGTAAATTTTTTAATGTCCCTTCACAATTTTTTCTAATATCATGGCCATAGGAAGTCTGGGAATTTTATGAATCTGAAAAAAAATCAAGAATAAAGTCACAGAATTGAGTTAAAATACACCAAAAAATTATAAAAGGAATTAGAGTTTAAGGTACCTAAAAATCCTATATTTAATTCCAAAAAAATTTTTTTTACTAATTCTGAAAGATATTTTCTGATGCTTGACTTTGGTTAAATTTATATCTATAAATTGAGGTTAACTAAAAGTTTTCCCACCTTCTGCATTTATATTTATAAAATAATATAAATGTTTTATTAAGTTTTAAAATATTTTTTTCGTGAAAGTTGTTTTGTTAAAATATATTGCATTTTGAAAATCATAATTTTTCTCTTCATCATTAAAGTAGCAGGTTTATACTAACTGCCAACATATGATTCCCGCAGTAACTAAAAGTTACCCATATTTTTGGTTTGTGTATGTCATTAACAACAGTAGCATAGAAAAAAAATTTGTGTATTGTCAGTTATTTCTTTTTATCCACTTCATATCTGCCTAAATCTTTTTACCTAGTAACATATTCGTCTTGCGATCGATATCGTCGAGACCGGCAACAAACTTTTTTTACCTAATGCTTTCATAATCTTTCTTGCTATTTACATTGTCTGGGCTTAATATAATTCTGATTAGCTAAGCGACGTATCTAATGGAAATTACTGTAATTGACAATTTCTATCCTCTGTTTAAGATTATAAATGTTTAATAGAAGTATCATATTCTCTCTTGCACTTATAAATTTTTAATTGTAGGCTTTAGAGAAACCTTTTAAGTATTTTTTATTAATCTCTAAAAAACGTATAAATCTAAGAATTAAGGTTTAAAATAAAAATAATAACTTTGATTCGTTATTAGTTCTTATCAGGGTGGGCTTGAAAAATCTTATCCCTGTTAAAGCTTATACATACAGATGAGGTCTTTAATTTATAAAATTCATGCCTAAGCATCTTTTTAGATTGCACACCATTTAGATGTACCAATGTTTAATTCTTCGGAAAAAACCAGATTATAAACATTATTGCTATTTTAACATATAAGAAGTATTAGTTATTATTAGCAAGGATGAGTTAAGCATGAATAAGCATTGATTTAATAAAAGCAAAGAATTCTTATTGAAGAATTTTTATAAAGAATTTTATCAAATCAGCCAGCAACAGGCATGTCATTCTTCCGCTAACTCTTAGTATGACTAGGGGGAGGGGGGATAATAAGCTAACTTTGTTAAATAAATTCTTATTTTATAATTTAATTTAATAATATATTTCTTATAATTTGGGGACACTAAATCAATATTTTACAGTTAAATATTGGATACCGATTAAATATTGAATACCTATAGAATATTTACATGCCTGCAAGTCGGAAAAGGAGATGTAAGACTGATTGAAATTGAGAAAATGAAATTTTCCAGCTTTTGCTTTTGTTATTTTTTTATTAGTGTAGAGTTTCATTTCTTTTTCTGCTGATAGAAACAATTAATTGAAATATGTGATTATATTAATAATAAATGTTTTATGATGTATATTTTAATATTTTTTCTAAGCATGTTTTGAATTCCCCCCTTCAATTTATTTCAGACAAACATCAGTTATTCCTGTTGCAGTTTCCAAAATTTTTTGCTGTTGAGCAAGCAGAAGATCAGCAAAAAGATTCTTTGCCAGAACAGAAAAAAGTAAACTTTGGTTTTCTATTCCATGCCAGTGTGCAAAATTGAAAAATTGAACTCGTAATAACTGTCGAACTAATAATTAAAATTAATTCATGTAAGCAAACAATATTTTAAGTTAGAAAAAAACACACTTTATCTGAATAAACATATATTTCTTGGCAGATTTGAAATCTTGACCCTAAAAATATAGGAGATAGCTGCAATTTGGAAAATATGGTTCCAATAGTTGGTCAAGCAGGCGAAAGAAATTTTAGATGATAATTTATTTTTTTGTGTATTTTATCATCTCAAAAAAGTGGTATTTTTACATTTTGGAATCATTCGTTCAAAATTATTTAAATTAAAATGGTGTAAAGATTTGTATAACTTACTAATGAAATTCTTTTTTAACCATTAGTAAATTAAATGATGCAAAATAACAAAACATTATAATAAGAAAATATAATTAAAAAATTCATAGAATTACAAGCTGATAAACAAATTTTGCAATTTTATGCAAAAGGGGAAAATAGTATAAGAAGGTTCAAACGTTTGACCAGTTTTATTGATAGAACCTATCCCCTGTTCATATTTATATATTCAACAATCTAAATCCATGGAGCAAAAAGGTATGTTAATTTAGAAAAACTACATNTGAGAAAATGAAATTTTCCAGCTTTTGCTTTTGTTATTTTTTTATTAGTGTAGAGTTTCATTTCTTTTTCTGCTGATAGAAACAATTAATTGAAATATGTGATTATATTAATAATAAATGTTTTATGATGTATATTTTAATATTTTTTCTAAGCATGTTTTGAATTCCCCCCTTCAATTTATTTCAGACAAACATCAGTTATTCCTGTTGCAGTTTCCAAAATTTTTTGCTGTTGAGCAAGCAGAAGATCAGCAAAAAGATTCTTTGCCAGAACAGAAAAAAGTAAACTTTGGTTTTCTATTCCATGCCAGTGTGCAAAATTGAAAAATTGAACTCGTAATAACTGTCGAACTAATAATTAAAATTAATTCATGTAAGCAAACAATATTTTAAGTTAGAAAAAAACACACTTTATCTGAATAAACATATATTTCTAGGCAGATTTGAAATCTTGACCCTAAAAATATAGGAGATAGCTGCAATTTGGAAAATATTTTTCCAATAGTTGTCAAGCTAGCCAAAGAAATTTTGGATGATAATTTAAGTTATTCGAAAAAGTGGTAATTTTAAATTTTTATTTCTCAAGAAGTACTTAATCGATTCTATTCAAATTTTGGAATCATTCATTCAAAATTATTTAAATTGAAATAGTGTAAAGATTTGTATAACTTTCAATTGAATTTTTTTTCACCATTAGTAAATTAAGTTATATAAAATAAGAAAACATCATTAAAAAAATTTTTTCATGGAAATATAATCTGGTAAACGAATTTTGCAATTGTATAAAGTGAAAATAATATAATGAGGTTCAAATGTTTGACCGCCCTCCTGACCAATCTATTGAAACCATATTTTACAGATTGCACCTATCCCCTGCTCATATTTATATATATATATATGTGGTAATATGTATATATTTGCATATATATATTCTATATCCATGGAACAAAAAATTTATGTTAATTTAGAAAAAGTACATTTTAACCTGTAACTATGTTAATCCAATTGTGTATCAGATCTACTTGGTTATCCATAAAAAATTTCTAAAAGTGAGGGAGTCTTTTAGTTGTCCCACTGCGGACTGATAGTAAAGACGTGAGACAGATGTTAAAGACCCCAGTAAAACACTGAAGTCAAGTATCACTGGCTGCAGGCGGTAAGCGAGTGGGTGACCACTTTGATCAGTCTACGTAGGGACCGAGGGTGTTTGGTACTGTTCTATCGTACTATTGTTTTTTTTTTTTTTTTTAATATTTATTCTGTTCTATCTTATTATACAAAAGTTTATGTAAGAACTTTTTATTAACACCTTCCCTATCAGCGTTGCATCTCATACAGTGGAGGTTTTTATGCCTGTATGGTCGGCGTAGCATGACACGTGACAAAGAGAAAAATTGTATCATTGAAATTGAATTTATCACTTCTTACACGTCTCTTTAAATCCTACGAGTATTTTTGTATTTATTAATGCGTATTGCTAAGAGATGGTGCAACTAGTCGCACTTTCTTTACGATTTGCGCATTGAGATTTTCTGTCTTGAATTGAAATCAAAATCATTTAGTTCTCTCTATAATTTTGCTCTCATTAGTATTACCGTTGCATATCAAAATAGTTATGAGGTATTTAGAGAGTGAGTCTGTGGACAGTGATTGTAAAACTGTTTTAGCGGTAATGTTGAAAAATTATTTTCCTAAATATTTTTCGCCTATTTTTAATAATTATTTTATGCGGATATTTATCTTAAACTCCTTCAAGCAATCGAGTTAATAAATATGTCATCATGGTGTTTTGTTTTTTTTTAAGATAAAACTTGCATTGCAGGGAAAACTGGAGATCAGTGGATGGGACATTACATATTTTACCACCAATAAGTCAAGCAAAAATCTGCTTTCTGATGAAAATGTTTTGCATTTTCGAATGGATAGAACATCTATTAATTTTTGGCAATAAAAACAATTTTGAGGGTCGGAAATTCAAAAAAAAAAAAAAAAATCTGAAAAAAAGGGGTCAAGTGGATTTACAGTAATGTCTTCTTAATTTTGTTTTGACATTTAAATACAAGATATTTTTATATCTGTATAATAAGTATTTTTGTATTCATCTTCTTTTTGTTTTCTTTCAGAACAAAGCTAAAACAGGCTTATCAGTTTTGCCAGAAGGTCAAATTGGAAAACTTCAAGTGATGAAATCCGGACGCACAAGATTACTAATCGGAGAAAATAGTTTCTATTTAGACTTTTCCAATTCCGTAAAAAGCAAAAATGAGGTTGTATCCATACAATTAAATGAGAGTGATAAAGATATCATAGTCCTTGGGGATATAGATCATAAAGCAACTGTTGTACCTGATGTAGATAAACTTTTAGAATCTATAAGATAACCTTTTTTTAATTAAATGTAGGTCTTATTAGTTCACAAAAATTTTAGTAGATAAAGATTTTAATGCAACATACTATTCCTGTAGGTATGTGATTTTAAAAGTTCTACTCTTTAAATAAATTTCCTCATTTGAGAAAAAAATCCTCAAAATATTTTTTGCTATTTTGTTGTACTTTTTATAAAACTTGTATCAAATTTTATATTTTTTTAACAAAGGCCTCTTTTAAAATGTCTTTTAAAAAATCATAATTATTATAAATCAAAATTATCATAATTTGTTTTCCAGGCTTAAGACTTTTTTCAATTATTCATTTACATCGATGACATCGTCATTTTGTATTCAAAGCCTTACAACCATTATTTAATTTATTTCTAAATAAGTAACCATTAATTTATTATTTTAATATATGATTTTATTCAAAATTAATTTTAAATTTAAAAGAAGAAAGCTTAAAAAAATTTAAATTCATCCTCAAAATTTTAGACTGTTATTGACTTTTTATTTATATTGGCATCTTCACCATTTTTTTAAGGCCATTAATATAATTGTTAATTAACAGCATTCCATTCTGCATATATAGACGTGGTTTAATATTAATAATTAAACATTAATATAGTTTCTAAATGATCTGAAAATTAATCATACTCATTTATTTTCTATTATAAATTAAAAAAACTTTTTATACAAATGTTTGCATATTTTTCTTGAAATAATTCATTGAATGAATCTTCATTTGAATAAGCTAGAAGGTCTTATTATAAAAAAGATGTTATTTGTATATTCTTTTTTTTTATGTAAATAAAGGTGAATTTTTTACAGTAATGCCTGTTAATCTTTGCTCAGTCAAATTGATTTTAATTTTCAAAATAGTGGAAAGTTGGTGTTTATAAAATTGGAAATTTTCATTATTATTTATCCTTGATTTTAAATCTTTTACTCTAACCAAATAAATTATGGTAAGAAAAATATCTTTTGAGTTCTATAAAGGACAACTCGAGAAGTGCTTGAACACGACTCTCCTGGTAAAGATGAAACCTCATGAATAATGAAATCAAAACAATGTTTCCATCATTCACATGTTTTTATCATGTTCTTTTTAAGTAATTAGAGTGTTTAATTTTAAACTCAGCACTAGACGTCGAAGTTTCAATAATTTCTTGACTCCTATAGACTTAGAGGCTGGGAAGCTCCAAAGATCAGGGCACAGGGACATGAGGTCTATTGTTCTCCAAACCCTTAATCATGATTAACAAGAAAGCTTTATAACTGAAATAAAGTACAGCAAACAACTGACAGGAATGTCTTGCAGTTCCCAGGCTTTAATGCAGTGTTGCCCTAAATGCTGCTCAAATCTTTGAGCAAAATAGACCTCACAATCACAAAGTATAAGTAGTGAATTCTCCTCCTCAAGATAACAACCTTGACAAAGATAATCAGATTTAATACTCATTATGTAGAGGTGTCTCCTGAGAATCCAGTGAGAAGACCAATGATCTTCTTCAAACTATTCCTGTTAAAAAGCTCTTTTTGATGTACTTGACTCCTATACAATTAGAATTTGTATCGTCAATGGGAAGTCAATCAAAATTTCAACTGGCTAAAATGCTCAAAATTCATCTGAATCTCTGAGCCTGTGCAAGCTGTAAGTATTTAGTAAATGGTGCAAGCAAAGTTTATTGCAAATTTTAAAAAAAATGTTATCACCTTCCGTCATAAGTAAATCACAAAACTAATATCTATATATATAAACTATATATTATAAAAAGTTTTAAGAACTAAGTTTTCCAAATTTAAAATAATACGTTTAAAAAGGAAAATGTAATTTTTGTCAGGACGAAAAATGTGAACTATCTATCACACCTGTCAAACATAAAATTACTTCATTCTTTATTTATTTGAAAAACGCAGTTTTTAAATTTTTTATTTTATTATATAACCTTTGTGTGCTAGGATAACAATTGCTTATATTTTAATTGAAATAATTATGATTCCATTCTTCGTTGTGAGTAAACTACATTAAAGAGAAACTGGAAATAAGGTAGGAGAAATTAAATCTGTGCTGACCTGGTATAAGCAGGTTTTGCAGTTTTCCTGATTTTCTGGAAACAAAATATTTTGTCCCAATTTTTACCTTTTTGTCCTGAATTTTGTGTATGTTCAGAACATCCCTATATATTTACAACAAATTGTGCAACATTAAAAAAGAACAATTCGGAACAACAAATACAAGTGTGGGCTCTAAAATAGTAGATTTTAAGAATTGAAAGATTTAAATATGAAATTTTTTGTTTATTAATTAATAATGCTAGTAAGAATCGCAAAATTCAATTGTTCTTTTTGTTTCAAACTTTTTGTAATAAAGAAACTCAGCATTTTTGCTGTTAATAGCTTTTTTTTTTTATACGAGTATCTCCGATTGCTAATTAAAAAGTGGTGGTTTTTGTCGCAGGCCATTGTTCTTGTTTTCCAGTGGCGCCCTCTATGGCCAAGAATTCGACTTCTGTCACACCCGTTTATAGGGCGGACCCATTTCTTTACAACAGAAAGTGTTGATCCAAAGATGTTGAAAAGATAAGTGAATAAAAGAGTTGTCCTAAAGATGTTGATCCACAGATCGTAATTTTGTCCTGAGCCAGAGAATGATCAATCTCCAATTCAGTACCTCCGAAAGTATAATTAATTATGGGAACATGGAGAAATGATCTGCAGAGATTGAACTTACAGCATCGGCTGGATTCGAACTCCCGTTCTCCCATACGTGAGTCCAGTGCTCTGCCAACCTCACTATCCGGCCCATTTGGAAAGTGATGTTAAAAATAAACTTACTTAGATTGTCCGTCACATTCGTTCACAAAGAAAATGTAGTTCAGTTCTTTTTGTTTTTATTCTTTCATTTCCTTTAAAAAATTTTTTCATTATTTCCTTTATTGCAAAATCAAAAATATTTTTAAATGTCCATTATTTTTAAGTAATGGTTCAGTTTTAAAAATTATTTTATTTTGAGGATCTCTGTTTCCAGATTGCAATATATTATGTTTGTTTTTTTTTATCATTTGTTTATTTTGTTTTTGCATGCATTTATTCTTTAGTATATAAATTCTATATGATTTAGCTTTGAAGTTTTTTATTGTCGCATGAAAATATCCATAACTATCGCTTTTTTTTTTTTTTTTTTTTTTTTTANCTGTCGCTCTCTTCATCTTATGTATTCTTTTTCTCCCTCTTTTTCTTTTTTTTTTTTTTTTTTCAAAACTTATTTCAATCTATATTTATATTAAAGAATCTATTTCCGAAGTTAAGAAAATTCAGATTCTGAAATTTCTCACTGTACGTACGAAGTTGCGCCATCTTTTTTTTTTTTAAATTTATTTTTGATCACCTTGTACTATCTTAATTTTTTTTTAAAAAAAAGCGTTGTGTCTTTATTTTATTTTAATTTACTTTTTCTTTAGGTTGCGTACAATGAAAGAAATTTGCTGCACAGTTCAACAAAAGTTGTGAATTACATTTTTTTTTTTTTTTTTTTTTTTTTTTTTTTTTTTTAGACAGAGTCTCACACTGNTTTTTTTTTTTTTTTTTTTTTTTTTAGCTCTTTGTTTTCCCGTCTTAAAAATAGCCTGGTATTTAGGTTGAGTCAAAAGAAATGTCCAGATTTTCTTCTGATTTTTTTTTTCTATAAAGTGTTGTCCTGATATTTATTTTGAACCACTAACCTGTAAAAATCTAAAGGTAAAATTTAAAAATTTACTCAATGTGTATGAATGATAGACTGAATGTAAACAATAAAAAGCTTCCTAAAACCGGAAAAAATTTAGTAAACTTCCGGTGTATCCTTCCGCTTATGGTATGCTTATGAGGCGATGTGTGAACAGGCTTAATATTCTAGTAAGTTTTTATAATGTGATTTGTTCAAATTTACGCGTAATTTTACCATTCATAAGAGTTTTCTGTAGTTTAAAAATTCTAACAGGTCGTGAGCGTAAAACAAAATTAATATCACCTCATAAATAAAGTGTAAGGTTAGCCATGTTTTGAGTACAGAGCCGGATTAAACCTTTCGTAGGCCCTAGGCATAGCCGTTTTTGGGGCCTTCCCTCACTCCTCCCCTCTTTTCAAAATATGGGTGGGTGATCGTGTAAAGCTAAGGGTGGTGGCGCTAGTGGTGAAATTGCTCTTTCAAGACTTCCGGGTGACTGCTTCCGATATATTTTTACGCCGCAGATTGAAAAAACGCTCCATCATATTATTGCATCATATCTTTTGCAGTATTTCACATGTACCGAGTTCTTTCTTTCAGCCTTTAAACTTCAGCATTATCATATTAATATTATAATCATTTGAATATTTTCTAATTAGGCTAACTTAAAAAGATATTTTGGCGACATTTTATTCAAATGTAGCCAAATAAGGGATAAAATACAAAACATGGCAAACCGTAAGAATTATTCACAATGAGATATTCACTTTCCAAAATTTTTTTTGGCCTTACGACCTCTGAGAATCAATACATTTCTGAAAGTTCTTATGAATGGTACAATTATGTTTAGATTTGAACCCAAATTACAATAACAAAACTGCATAGAATATTAGGCTTGTTCACACATCGCCTCGTAGTCATAACATAAGCGGAGGGATACACCGGAAATTTTCTAAATTTCTTCCGATTTAAGAACGCTTGTTATTGTTAAATTAGACCACCCATCCATATGCTAAAATTTTCTTGCATATTTTTTTTTTACATTTTTATTAATATGGATTTTAATTTACGAATTTGTTTATTGAACTTTATCTGCGATATCGATAATACCATTATGATTAGTTCGATCGATAACTATGTAAACACTTCACGTCAACAATACAACAACAAACCAGCAAAGAAAACAGTGAAATTGATAGTGAGATTAATTACAAGAAATATTTATACAGTAAAGAACCAATTATCTGAGATGCTCGGGACCATCGCTATCCCGGATGTCTGAATTTCCCAGTTTTCTGGATCGACCAAAAAGTGTCATTAATCGATGTTTTATAGAACCCGAATTACAAGGAAATTACACAAAAATTTGTCAGAATCTGAGATTAAACTAAAAGCGCAAAATTACTCATCCGATTTAGAGAAAAACTTTGTAGATGAATTTTTACTATTTTCAAATTTATAAACATAAATCTGCACAAGAAATGTTGAAGGCTCAAATTAAAGATAAACTTGTGAATACTTTTCCTAACGTTCACATTGCATTAAGAATATATTTGTCGATTCTTGGATCAAATGCAGAAGGAGAAAGATCTTTCTCCAGATTAAAATTGATAAAAAATTATTTGCGTTCAACAATGAATCAAGATCGTTTGGCATCGCTCGCACTTATGTCTATTGAATACGACATTTTGCGTAGTTTGGAATTCGACAGCATAATACAAGATTTCGTTGAATCCAAAAATCGCAAAAAAGTAATATATTAGATCATAAGATTCTGCAAAATAATTTATTACCGAAAAATATTAAAATTTTATTTGTATCTTCATAATTTTATGCAAAATACACTTGTTGTTTTTAAAGCTAAATTATATTTGTCAACAATTTTTTTTTCTCCCAAGTTTTTCGTAGGCCCTTAGGCACGTGCCTAGTATGCCTATAGGTTAATCCGGCCCTGTCTGATTATTATCCTTTATTTTGCTATATTTGTGTAAAATAGCACGTTTGCCGAGTCTTCCGAATTTATGTGTTGTTTGTTTAGTTGAAAGTTAGATTGAAAGTCTAACTACGAATATTAACCACTAGCGCCATCTGCACTTAACTTTACATGCCCAATCATCTACTCACATTAAGTTTAAGCTTTTAAAAAACTTCGCAAAAAAGATACGGTTAACCTAAACAATGACGTTTCAAACAGAAAAGTTAGCAATAAAGAAACTATCAGTATTTCTTACATCAATTGAACATTAAAGGAAAAGAAAACTAAATTTCAGCGCATTTTTTTATTACAATTAAATTATTACAAAACCTAAATCGAATTTAAAGTTACCTTCCTGAACTATCAGTATGGAAGGGAAAACAGATTTTAGTCGACCAGATTTTGATAGGATTGGCCTTTTCAAGGAGATGAGTTATTTAGAAGGACCCGCACAGATTCCACCAAGTATGGTATTAATTATCTTAGTAAATATGCCGTTTATATACATACAATATATATTACCGGTATACCGTGCTTCGGCCTTAATATTTATTTATAGACTTCTTGTCAACAACGTATGGTAGGTAAGTAGGACTTTTATTTACGTTGCACTAGAGCTGCACAATGGGCTTGGCAACGGTCTGGGAAACATCCCCAAGGATGATCCGAGGACATGCCATCATAATTTTGATCCTCTGCAGAGGAGATGGCTTCTCCGCTTCGGTAACCCAACGACCTACGCGCGAAGTCGAGCACTTTACGGTAGAACAGTTTAAAGAGGATCGACACCGCGCACCTTCGGTAACTGCGGTGGCTGATCAAAGTGGTCACCCACCCGCTTACTAACCGCTGTCTGTGATGCTTGACTTCGGCGTTCCATTGGGAACCTTGTCTTTACGATCAGGCCACTGCGGAACGCAGAAACGTATAAACAGTATTATTCGGGATCGCAACGCTCGAATACGGCATCTGAGAAGACTGGTTCCATGACTTGACCCTTCCCTCTTCTCGGTTGTATGGGAATATACTACGTTTTTTCCCCTTCCGTAACATTTTTCATAATTAATTGTCTAAAATTTCCAGGATACTTTCTTTAAAAACTATGTTTAATGCAGTTTTGAGTTTGATATAGTTCCTATCTTAAAAAGTTTTTAATCTATATGAAAATCAAGGTTTAAACTTACATACTTCCTTCTCCTATATTTGTATCGGCATAAGACATGCATATCCAGAAAAGTTTCGATAAATTTAGTCGGGAAAGTCTTGGTACTTTTGATTGACCATAAAACCACTGTGAAGATAAAATGACGAAAAATTCTGCACACAGCGGTTAAGAAATGATTGAAACTTGCATTTGCCACCAGGCACGGTTCTATATTAATGCTTATATTGCAAGCTATTCGGAAAATGGACGAAATTTTGACTGCCCCCCACAGACGTGGTAACCACTAAATTATGGTGGGAAAAAAAAAGAAATATAAAAAAGCTTAAATTTGGAACCAAATGCTTAATATGTGCTGTCATTGCTAATTGGAAGAAATAAATTCTTTAAAAAAAACGATTTCATTTTTTTTTACTATGCTCCTGATTTAAATTACTTACTCCAATGGAACTTTTATCATGACTATATAATTAGTGTCAACAAATGCTTAATATTTAAGGCTTTAAAAAAATCAAAATAACACATCAAATCATTCGGACACGATATGCTAATTACTAAGTGTTTTTAATTGAAGTATAAAATTTAGCTCTTAAATAAGTAAGGAGAAAATTCCCAACCGCATTATATACTGGCATTTAATAATGACCAATTTATATTACAAGTTTTAAAAAAATAATAAACACATTAGGGGGTGGAGGAATATTTAAAGGAGAAAGAAACAAAGACGTTATCGACGCCGTTAGAAAAGGCCGATNAGCAGTGGTTTCCAAACTTGATGTTACTACGCCTCCCTTAAAAATTTTTAATAATTTGGCGCCCCCCCTGAAGATTTCATAAGATAAAAACACAAACGTTTTTACTCTTATAAAACTTATTCATACAAACTAATGGAAAACGATATTTTATTATTGTTTTTAATGAGATGGATGTGCTTGTCTATTAGCACAAAGTTTATCAAATCTTGGTGTTTGTGACGATATAGCTACTCGTAGCTCTTTTTCTACAACTAAACGAGCTCGATATTTGGATTTCATTGCAGCCAAGGCAGAAAATCCCGTTTCGCATAAATATGATGTTGCGAGCAGCAGCAGTACTTTCAAAGCTTTGTTTGACAAAGTGTTATATTCTGTATGAAGATTCAGCCAGAGTTGAACCAGAGATGCAGTCTCAAATTTATGTTTTAATGTAGTATCACAAGATAATTCAATCAATTTTTCTTTTTCAATACTTGTCAATCCAAATTCATCATCTTCTTTGTCGATAAATGGATTCTGTATCCACGCAAACTTTGTAAAATCAAGATCACCAAAATAATTCGAAAATTGAAGCAACAAACCATTCAAGTGTTCCACAAAGAGATTTTTGTTTGCTTCTATGTTATCTCATGTCAATCTTATTTTTTTTGCAAATTTGATTTCCATAGCTCC